GTGTATGTAAACACACGCCCACACACACTTGTGCATATTTTCACGATGAACAGTTTAATGTGGACCCAAAGCACTTTAAAATATATATATATATATATATATATATATATATATATATATATATATATATATATATATATATATGTGTGTGTGTATTTAGAAAAAAAGTGATTATTTAAATACAATTAAAAATTTAACAAGAGCCTAAAATATTATTGTTTATACGATTAACATAATATTGTTAGTGGTTCTTTTCAATTATTTGTTTATTTATTTATATATTTCAAGAAAAATCATTAGATCATTAGCAAAGTTTTTTATGAATAAATAAATGAATGATTGAACAAATACATAAATGATGAATTAACAAATGAACGATTAAAATGAATAAACTAATTATTGAGTGAATGATTAAATAAATGAATAATTGGTTAAATTAATAAACAAATGAATAAATAAGAAAATGAATGAATGATATAATGAAGGAATGATAAAATTAATGAATGATTAAATGAATAAATCAATTAATAACTAAATAAATGAATGATTGATTGAAAAAACAAACAAATAAATGAATGATTCCATGAATGAATGAATGAATAAATGAATGAATGAATGATTACTTGAATGAATGAATGATTATAAGATTACATGAACGAATGAATGAATTATTAAATAAATAAATAATTGTAAAAAAAATGAATGTATGATTGAATAAATACACAAAAGAATGAATAAATAAATGAATGAATACATTAATGATTAAATGAATGAATGATTAAATGAATAAATAAATGAACGATTGAATGAATGAATACATAAATAAAAATGAATGAATGAATGAATGAATGAATAAATAAATAAATGATTGAATGCATGAATAAGAGAATAAATGAATAAATAAACAAAATAAAGAAATAAATTAATAAATAATTGAATTAATGAATAAATTAATGAATGAATGACTAAAATAAATACAAAAAATAAAAAAATAACTAATGAATGACTAAATAAAATTAATTTTAATAATTAACAATGATTAAATAAATGAATGAATAAATAATAAAAGTAAGAATGAATGATTAAATAAACAAATAAATAAATGATTGAATGAATAAGGACACAAATGATTAAATAAATAAATAAATAAATAATTGAATGAATGAATGAATCATTAAAATAAATAAATAAATAAATGAACTAATGAATGACTAAATACAATTATTTTTAATAATTAATAATGATTAAATAAATGAATGAATAAATAATAAAATAATGAATGAATGAATGTATGAATGAATGAATGAATGAATGAATGAATGAATGAATGAATGAAAAAATGAAAAAATAAATACATAAGTGCTAGTGCTGAAATGCACATATAGTATTATAGCCCAATGTTTGCTTGGGCGCTTGAGTTTAGGATCCGCGGCTACACAGAACTGAAATCCAAAGAGATGACAGCAGGTAAAGCTCTGGATGCGGTTGTCATGGTTACCTGGTCGTTCCACCTGAAGTCTGGGGTGATGCTGAGGCGGACGCGCAAAACGGTGCGGGTGATTGGCTGAATGCTGGACTCCAGCAGGATGGCGGGAATCTGATGAACACACTGCTTCACCTTCAGACCGATGTTCACGTGATGCAGCATGTGACCTGCACACACAGACACACACACACACACACACACACACACATTTGCAGCGTATGTTAGACTGATAAACAAGGCCCACTGTATCTTTATCAGTATAGACAGAGCATTATGACAGACTGACCGATCTCGTCTTTGCCCATGTCTCTGAGTTTGTCGATGGTGAGGTTCTTGTCCTCCATCCGGGCCAGCGCTGAAGCCGGAAGTGTGTTGAACTGTCTGAGCGGGTGAGCCCAGCCCCACAGACGCTTGTCCATCACCTTACACAGATTCAGCAGGCGGTAGGTCATGGCCGGCCAGCGCTTCCTCAGAGCCATCTCAAACAGAGCCCGCATGATACGAGCTGCGTTCTGCACACAAACACACACACACACACATGCAATCCAAAGACTCGCTATCACAGACACTGTAAAGAGACTTGCTATCACTGCACTATATATATATGTATAGGGCTTGACATTAACTTTTTTTGATCACCAGCCACTGTGGTTAGTAGATTTCCAACATTAGTAGCCACTCACCATTTTTACTAGCCACAATTTTGTTGCTTGGAAAATATATATTTTTTATTAATAAATGTGACTTTGACATGCTGACATGACTTGATTTAGATGTTGTGTTGTCCTCATGCCTCCTCATTTAGTTCACTGTTTGTGTGTGTGTGTTGTGTGTGAGCTTGCTCGCTGTGCATGAGCAAATGGGTTGTGTCGCATTGCAATTGGTTTTTATTTCACATGAGTTTTTTAGGGCTCAAATTAAGGATTTATCTCGGACCACACCCAAAATAAAATCTTTATTTCTTAGCCACACATTTTAAATGTGTCAAAACAAGCAGATATATAGCTGTATACATGCACCTTTTATTTGACAAAACTTTTCTCTTTTTTTTTTTTTTAAATTTGACATTTAAAAAGATCTATTGTCATGCATCTAAAATATGCACAGTAATCTGTCCTGGCTAAAGATCCCAGATCAGCAGTTACTACACATGAATGGGGAGTTCATCTCATATTAAAGAATTGCTATTCGCAAAGTATGATAATTAAACTATATTAACAAAATAACTGTAAGCAAAAGAAAGCAGGTGAGTGATAATGAAAGGATGATCATGTGCCTGAGTATAATTAAAAGGAAAGCAGTGACTGCTGCTGCTGCTGCTGCTTACAAAATGTTTGCTGCTTTCACGAGCATCGCTTTTAGTCCAGTCTATTTCAAAGAGAACCGATCGCAGCAGTTGTGCTTCCTCTACAGATGGTTGTTTCATGCAAGTAAACGGGAGCGCGCGCGCTTTTAACAGTCGTGCGCATCACATCACCTGTGTGAATAATCGTCCTCTCAAGGTATTCACCTGCTTTTGCTTGCGCGAACACAGTTATTGTTGTCAGTCGTGCTGCTTCTCGATTCTAAGATCACATTTGCGCGCATATTGGGCCATGCTTATTGTCGAACCCTGCTTTAAGAAAACTACAATGTACCAATTATTTCCAACCTGCCAAAGTGGCTAGAGGGAGCGGCTGTCCAACCCGCCGAAGCTGAAATCTACACGCATTTGGCAGGCTGGCGGGTGTTAATGTAAAGCCGTGCATATATATATATATATATATATATATACAGTTGAAGTCAGAATTATTAGCCCCCCTGAATTATTAGACCACATGTTTATTTTTTCCTCAATTTCTGTTTAACTGAGAGCAGATTTTTTAAACACATTTCTAAACATAACAGTGTTAATAACTCATCTCTAATAACTGATTTATTTTCTCTTTGTCATGATGACAGTAAATAATATTAGACTAGATATTCTTCAAGACACTTCTATACAGCTTAAAGTGACATTTAAAGGGTTAACTAGGGTAATTAGGGTAACTAGGCAGGTTAGGGTAATTAGTCAGGTTATTGTATGATGATGGTTTGTTGTGTAGACTATCGGAACAAATATAACTTAAAAGGCTAATAATATTGTCCTTAAAATGGTGTTTAAAAAATTAAAAACTGCTTTTATTCTAGCCGAAATAAAACAAATAAGACTTTCTTCAGAAGAAAAAATATTATCAGACATACAGTGAACATTTCCTTGCTCTGTTAAACATCATTTCACTGAAAACAATTATTGAAAGATGATTCCTTGGATTTACTTAATTTTTTTTAATGTTAAGTAGTTGTAAACAATTTATTCGGGCCGAATTTAAACAAACAAATTAAGTTGAACATTATTACATTTTATGTGTTTGTTTAAATTAAACACAAATAAATTGTTTGCAACAGTTCTGCATGCAACACTTTTTTCAGTGTTGGAAAATATTTAAAAAAGAAGAAAAAAAATTTAAGGGGGCTAATAATTCTGACTTTAACTATATATATATATATATATATATATATATATATATATATATATATATATATATATATATATATATATGAAGCGTTCAGATGCAAAAGTCGCTAAACGCCACTTCTGCCAAAAATGAGATCACAAACAAATAGATTTGCTTTTAATCATCCAAATCCCAGCATCAGTACATTCAGAAAAAAAACAGTTTGTTGGCAAAAGCCGCTAAACTCTACCTGCCTTTGACAGCAAAAGCCGCTTTATCCCGAGAGCCAATCAGAAGCGCGACTTGAATCATATGTTTTCAAAGTAGGAGCGTGCTGATCCGCCGGCTTTACAAGGAGACTGTTTTATTCAGCTTTCGATGTTAAAAGATGGAGTTTGATGAACTGGGTGAGCCTGTCAAACCCACACTAACATGGGGAGAACATGCAAACTCCATTCAGAAATACCAACTTACCCAGCCGGGACTCCAACCAGCAACCTTCTTGCTGTGAGGCAACAGCACTACCTACTGCGCCACCGTGCCGCCCTGTCTTGATTCAGCTCACTTTAAATAAGCAGCCGAAGTCTTTTTTTGCGTGTATTAAGGTGTCGTTTTAAACAGATGTGTCTTCTCCTTACATTTAGTTCCTAATCCCGAGCACATTTGATGTGATGACTAACGTCCACTCTCTCTGACTGCTGTGTGTGTGTAAATCAGAGGCGAGCGTGTGTGTGTATGATGTTGCAGTTTGAGTTATGCTCAGAATCGCACAGTCCTTTGATCTATAAGGTGCAGGTTTGCTCGTAGATCTGAGAGCTATGATGGAGCGCTCCGTATACGTCACTGATGGATCCAGCAGAAATGGACGAACGTTTGCGCAAAAAAGGAGGAGGACAAACACCTGCCGACCCACATGTGCTGTTTAACAGGCCACAGGAGCCAGAGAAACCCTTTCATCCGACACTGAGCTGTATGGAGGAGAACCAGCAGAACAATTCCACCATCGTCCAGTGAAAACACACACACATACACAGACACACACAGGCATGCACACACAGGCATGCACACACACAAATGCACACGCACGCGCACATACACACACACACACACACACACACACACACACACACATATACACACATACACACACAGACACGAGCACGGACATGAAGTCATGCACACATATGCACACACGCAAGAACTTACACAAATGCAAGCATGCACATGCGCACGCACACACACACATGTATGCAAGTACGCACACTCATGCATGCACACGCACATACATGCATGCACACAAACAAACAAACATACATGCGCGCACACATACACACACACACACACGCGCACGCACGCACACACGCACTCACACACACACCCACTAAAAATGAATGTACACATACACACAAATAAATACACACAGTGTCGGCAGACATACACACAAGCATGCTCACGCAAACACATGCAGAGACACACAATAAAATTATGATGTTTTAATGCTTTAAAAAAAGCTGTTTTGCTCACTAAAGCTGCCTTTATTTGATAATCAATACTGTCAAATCTGTTCAATTGTAAATTGTTATTGCAATTTGAAATAATAGTTCTTTTATTGATGTTTCGTAGTTGCAAAACTAGCTCATTCCTACAATTCAATGCTGAATTTTCTTTTTTATTTTGCAGTCTTCAGTGTCTGAACGTTGTTTTACTGGAAGTTGACATGAAGATTGAATGACACTTGATGGGAAAAAATTAAACAAACAAACAAACAAACAAACAAATAAATAAATAAATAATAATTAAATAATAACTAAAACAATAATAATATTAAATAAAAATTTACATAAATAATTATAACAACCATAATAATAATAATAATAATAATAATAATAATAATAATAATAATAATAAATAAACAAATAAATAAATGAATAAAATTATAATAATAATAAAATACATAAATAAAACAATAATAAATATAATGAATACATAAAATAATAATAATAATAATGATAATAAAAATAACATCAATAATAGTATTATTATTAATAATTATAATAAATAAACAAATTAATTAATTAATAAATGAATAAAATAATAATAATAATAATAATTAAAAATACATGAATAAGACAATAATAAAAAATAATGAATCAACAACAATAATAATATTAATAATAATAATAATAATAATAACATCAATATAATAATAATAATTATAATAATAATAATAACAATAATAATATTAATAACAACAATAAATAAATAAATAAATACATAAATAAATAAATAAAAAAGAAATAAAAAGAAACATCAATAAAATGAATAAACAAATGAATAAATATTAATGAATAAATATTTATTGCCGTGGTCAATATTATTAGCCACCTTAAGAAAATATTATATTTTCAATATTTTTTAGGCTACAGACCAAAACGCTGTAGTCCAATGAGTTGCCTAATTATCCCGATTAAGCCTTTAAATGGCACTTTATGCTGAATACTAGTATCTTGAACAATATCAAGTAAAATATTCCATACAGCCATCATAGTAAAGACACACACACACACACAAATGAATATATATAAATTAGAGTTATAAATATTCTAGTATTTTCCCAATGCTTTTGCAAGTGCATTAAACTGAATCATTACACACCAAACCGGCTCTGAATCCTCATTCACTCAGCATCAAACTCTGAGTCTCTACTCACAATCTGCAAACACACACTCGTCCATCTCTCTCCCCATATACAGATGACTGATGGGAAGAGTCTCAATCTCTGAACACATGCGAAAACCATTGAAGGAATCATGGTGTGTGTGTGTGTGTTTCTAAACATATACATCTAAAACCTCTGAAGGGTGACGGTCAGAGACATTTGAGAGATGTCGGAGCACAGAAGAAGGTCTGGATTTAAAATCAACATACATTTGAGACGGAAACGAGTCTCCCACTGCCGGATCCCAGCTGCACATCTCAAATCAGCCGAATTAGGAGCAAAGAGGGACTTTCTCCAGATATTTCAACTCTCTGAGCACATGGAGGCTGTTATAGCGGCATGGCAGATATCAGGGATGTACTGTATGATGGCTTCCACAGAGAATCTGAACAGAGGATTTCCCGTCCGCATCTCTGAGTCAGACAAACACCACCAGTGGGCTGAACACGCACAGCCAGTGTTTCACAGACAACGGGAAACTTCCGGTGAACGGTTAAAGGGACTATTTTCAATCTTATACGGTTCCTTTTACAGCATCGCTGGTGTAATGTAATTAAAATATGATCAGCTAAACAGACTTCAGCATTCGCGAGTGTGTATGTGGTACGTGCGTGCATGCAAATGTGCATGTGTGTGTGTGTATGTATACGTGCGTACGTGCATGTGTGTTTGTGTGCATGCGTGTGTCTGTGTGCATGTGTCTGCATTCATGTGTGTGTGCGTATGTGCATGTGTGTGTGTGCGTGCGTGCATGCATGTGTTTGTGTGTGTGTGTATACGTGTATGTGTGTGTGTCTGCGTATGTGCGTGCATATGTGTGTGTGTTTGCATTTGTGCATGTGTGTGCGTGTAAGTATGTGCATGAGTGTGTGCGTGCATATGTGTGTGTATGTGCGTTTGTGTGTGCATGCGTATGTGTGTGCGTATGTGAATGTGTGTGTGCGCGCATGTGTGTGTGTTTGTGTGTGTGCGTATGTGCGTTTGTGTGTGCATGCGTATGTGTGTGCGTATGTGAATGTGTGTGTGCGTGCATGTGTGGGTGTGTATGCATACGTGTGTGTTTGTGTATAAGCATGTGTGGGTATTTGCGTGCATATGTGTGTGTCTGCGTATGCGCATGTATGTGTGTGCGGTCATATGGGCATGCGTATGTGCATGTGTGTGTGCATGTGTGTGTGTGTGTGCATATGTTTGTGTGTGTGCATGTGTGTGTGTGTGCATATGTTTGTGTGTGTGTATGTGCATTTGTGTATGATTGTATGTATGTGTATGTGCATGTGTATGTATGTGTATGTGCATGTGTATGTGAGTGTATGTGCATGTGTGTGTGCGTATGTATGTGTGTGTATGTGTGCATACGTTTGTGGGTGCGTGTATGTGCATGTGTGTGTGTGTTTGTATGATTGTATGTATGTGTATGTTCATGTGTATGTGAGTGTATGTGCATGTGTGTGTGTATGTGCATGTGTGTGGTCGTGTGTGTGTGTATATGAGTGTTGTGTGCTGTGTGTTCATGTGTGAGCGTGTGTACACATGTGTGAGTACGTGCACGTGTGTGTCTCACCTGCGCTACATATGACAGGTCAGAGATGAGTGAGAAGCTGTCCACTTCTCCACGGCTGATGTAGGTCTGCAGCAGGATGTTGATCTTGCCGTAGCCGTTCTCCACTCCTCCAGACGCCGGCAGCTCACAGAAATTACACAACATCTTCTCCAGCTCCTCCAGCTCCTCATCCCGCACCTGCACGCACACGCACACGCACACACACACACACACACACACACACACACACACACACACACACACACACTAACACTTTTAGTTCATTCCTAGATAAAGCGGAGTCCAGAAACTCATCTTGATCTGCTCAAACTCTATAAAAACATAATAAGAAAGAAAGAAAGAATACACAAAGAAATTAAAACAAATAAAGAATAAATAAAGAATAAATAAATGACAAAAAAATAATATATATATATATATAAGAAAGAAAGAAAGAATACACAAAGAAATTAAAACAAATAAAGAATAAATAAAGAATAAATAAATACATAAAAAATTATAAGTAAGAAAGAATAAAGTAGGAAGAAACCGAAATATAAAAAATATATATAATTCATTATATACATATAAAAATAAATAAATACATAAAAAATTATAAGTAAGAAAGAATAAAGTAGGAAGAAACCGAAATATAAAAAATAAGAACCAAAAAATAAGTAAATAAATGAATGAATAAATAACGAATAAACAAGAACAAAGGAAATAATAAATAAAGAAACATAAAGAATAAATATCAAATAATAGAATAATAAACCAATATATATACATATATATAACATGAGTAGCAGTGCGATATGGCTAAATATCAGCTTGTGGCCTCGTGCCAACACACACCTCCCACCAGTGCTGATATACAGCCATATGGCACTGCTTCTCGTGTGATATTGCGCTTATACAACAGTTTGACGGCACAATCGTGTATACAAATAAGAAAATCAAACACAGAGAGTCTTTAAACCCTTTTGTATTAGGAACTACTTTCTTCCGCCGTTCATTCACATCTGAAGCTGACGTCAGAACAGCAGAACCCATTACTAATTCACCAATGTCACTGTAGAGCTAGTGTTTGAATGATTCTCTGCAGCGTTATCTCTAAAGTGAAGACAACACAGCTGATTTTGCTCACATTTTAAGATTATAACGATGAACGTGACATGAAATGCCATCAGTCTACAGCAGGGGTGTCAAACTCAATTCCTGGAGGGCCGAAGCCCTGCACAGTTTAGTTCCAACCCTGCTCCAACACACTCACCTGTAGGTTTCAAACAAGCCTGAAGGACTCAATTAGTTTGATCAGGTGTGTTTAATTAGGGTTGGAACTAAACTGTGCAGAGCTGCGGCCCTTTTGGAACTGAGTTTGACACCTGTGCTCTACAGAGATATCTTCTTACAGTATTATAACATCTGTTGCAATGAGGATATCCCAATAATTAACCCCGAAAAAAGCAGCGCAATCACTACCAGACTGCTGTTGTGTTTGCGATAAGAAGAGGGTGTTTGTTGGTGAGGTCTCTGAATAACACTGTTGAGAACCGGGAAAGTAACTGTATTAATAGGCACTGTCCTTAAAAATAAACTGCATAGTTGCAATCTGTACAAAAGACTTAGACTATCCCTTACCAGTTTAATAATGATCTGATCAGCTGTAGTTAGAAAACACAGTTTTAATCCTCCAAGCAAGGGCTTATTATGTGGTCCTGGCGCCATCTTGTGGATAGACGACGTCAACCGTCTTTGACTAATTGACACTAACACGCTGTCTTCTCAGAAATTATAAATATTAAAAATAGGCACTATCCTTATAAATAAACTGCACAGTTGCAATCTAAACAACTACACTCTCCACTAAAATAGCATCAAAAGTACATGATGCTGCCCAACAGCTGCAATATTTGTCAAACTGCAGTGAGTTTATTGATCTGCTGTCACTCTATGTGGGCGGAGGAAAACACAAAGGTGAGGAGGCTGTATGAGTGCTGTTATTGCTGAATATCACACAGCTATCAGCCAATCAGAATCGAGAGCCAGACAGAACTGTTGTGTATGTGTGTGTGTGTGTATATATATATATATATATATATATATATATATATATATATATATATATATATATATATATATATATATATATATATATATATATATATATATATATATATATATACAGTTGAAGTCAGAATTATTCGCCCCCCCACCCCCTTCTTTAATATTTTTTTCTTTTGTAAAGATTTCCCAAATGATGTTGAACAGATTCAGGAAATTTTTACAGTATGTTTGATAATATTTGTTCTTCTGGAGAAAGTCTTATTTTTTTTATTTCGGCTAGAATAAAAGCAGTTTTTTATTTTTTAAACACCATTTTAAGGTCAATATTATTAGCCCCTTTAGGATTTTTTTCCCCGATAGTCTCCAGAACAAACCATAATTATACAATAACTTGCCTAATTCCACTTACCTGCCTAGTTACCCTAATTACCCTAGTGAAGCCTTTAAAAGTCACTTTAAGCTGTATAGAAGTGTCTTGAAGAATATCTAGTCTAATATTATTTACTGTCATCATGACAAAGAGAAAATAAATCAGATATTAGAGATGAGTTATTAACACTATTATGATTACAAATGTGCTGAAGAAATCTGCTCTCGGTTAAACAGAAAAAATAAACAGGGGGGCAATAATTCTGACTTTAACTGTATATATAAATGAGAAAGAAAGAGTTTAGTCCATTCCTAAAATGAATCTACTCCTCCTGAACTCTTACCTTGATCTGCTCAAACTCTTCAGCTTTGGAGACGATGCTGAGCACGTCTGCTTCAGTGTTCTGCGCATTGAACAGCTCATTGAACGACTGTGGAGTAGAGCAGAAATACTGTTCAAATATGCATATATTAAATATTTACAAGCATTTTTTTTTGCACACCAACGATGATGTATTGCGAAACAGCAATAGTGTGAAATATGCCTCTTATTGATAAGGAAAAAACAAACAAAATATTCATCAGAATCACACTTTTTACCATCATTTACTCAACACACCCAAATATACATATATAATTACATGTAATAATAGTTTTAATGAATTTCCCAAATGATGTTGAACAGATTCAGGAATTTTTCACAGTATTTCCTATAATATTTGTTCTTCTGGAGAAAGTCTTATTTGTTTTATTTCGACTAGAATAAAAGCAGCTTTTAATAGTTTTAAACACATTTTAAGGTCAATATTGTTAGCCTCCTTAAGCAACATTTGTTTTGGATAGTCTCCAGAACAAACCACAGTTATACAATGGCCTGCTGAATTACCCGAACTCAACCATATTAAGCTAGTTAAGCCTTTAAATGCCACTTTAAGCTGAATACTAGTGTCTTGAAGAATATCTAGTGAAATAAATAAACATAAAGAGCACGCTGACACACCTCAATAGTGTTGTATTTAATGTAGAAGTGACTGGCTGTCCTGCCGAGGTCTGTAGATGCAAAGTAACCGGTCCTCTCGTCGAATCGGATCATCCGTGCTTTATCCAGCTTCCTGCCGGACTCCACCACTAACTCCTTCCTGTAGAGCTCCAGCTGCGGGTCCATCTGAACAACAGCAGCATTTAGATATTGCTGAAAGACTTCATAATGAATCAACAGCAGCAAACGCATTCGCAAGAAGAACATCAATACACTGCACTGCTGAACAGCTTAATACACTTCACTGAACACGCACACATAGACATCACCGGTATACTAAGAACGAAAGAAACAGCAATACATGAAGAAATAAAAGGAAGGAAAAAATATAATAATAATTAAACCAATAAATGAATAAATTAATATATGAATAAATAAGAAAGAAAGAAAGAAAGAAAGAAAGAAAATAAAAATAAAGAATAGATAAGAAAGAAACAAACAAAAATAAAGAAATAATAGATAATAAAAATAAATTACAATAAAACAATTTAATAAATAAATAAATAAAAAGAAAAAAGAATAAATAAAAAAGAATAAAGAATAAAGAACAAATAAAAGAATGAATGAATGAATGAATAAGAATAAAAGAAATAATAAAGAAATATAAAGAATAAATAATAAATAAAAGAATAAAATTAAATGAATGAATGAATAAAGGAAAGAAACAAACAAACAAAAAAGAAACAAAAAATAAAATAAAAAATGATAAATAATAAATAAATTAGAATAAAAACAATTAAATTAATACATTAATTAATTAATAACAATAGGAAGAAAGAAAAATAATAAATAAGAAAGAAAAAAGAAAGAAAAATAAATACATAAATAAATAAAGAATAAATAAAAAGAAATAAAAAGAATTGCATAAAAATAAATAAAAGAATAAATAAACTGCAATAAAAACAATTAAAGAAAGAAATAAATAAGACGAAAGAAAGAAAGAAATAATAAATATGAACAAAAGAAAGAATAAATAAAAAATAAAAAAGTAAATGAATGAATGAATGAATGAATGAATGAATGAATGAAGGAGAATAAACGAAATAATAAAGAAATATAAAGAACAAATATCAAATAAGAGAATAAATGAATGAATGAATCATAAGAAAGAAAGAAAGAAAGAAAGAAAGACAGAAAGAAAGAAGAAACAAAAATAAAAAAGAACAAATAATAAAATAAATAAATTACAATAAAAACAATTAAATAAATAAATAAATAAGAAAGAAAAAAGAACACATAAAAAATAAACGAATAAACGAACAAAGGAATGAATAAACAAATGAATGAATTCATGAAAAAAACAAATTAATAAATGAATAATCAAATGAATGATTGAATTAATAAACAAATGAATGAATAAAATGAATGAATGAATGAATGAATGAATGAATGAATAAATGAATGAATAAGGGAAGGAATAAACAAATAAATTCATTAATGAACTTACGAACGAACGAATAAATGAATGAATGAGTTGATGAATAAAAAACAAATGAATGACAGAATAAATGAACGAATTAATAAATAAACAAATGAATAAATAAATAATGGTGCAGTGGGTAGCACAATCGCCTCACAGCAAGAAGGTCACTGGTTCGAGTCCCAACTGGCTCAGTTGGCGTTTCTGTGTGGAGTTTGCATGTTCTCCCCGTGTTGGCGTGGGTTTCCTCCGGGTGCTCCGGTTTCCCCCACAGTCCAAACACATGCGCTATAGGGGAATTGGGTAGGCTAAATTGTCTGCAGTGTATGAGTGTGTGTGTGTGTATGGGTGTTTCCAGTACTAGGTTGCTAGAAGGGCATCCGCTATGTAAAACATATGCAGGTTGACAGTTTATTCCATTGTGGCGAGCCCTGATTAATAAAGGGACTAAGCCGAAAAGAAAATGAATGAATGAATAAATAAGAACAAAAGAAAGCATAAATACAGACATATCGATATATAGACACCACCTATATGTCATATAACTGCAGGTTAACTGTGTTTATATATCATAACTTTAACAGTTAAAAGCTGAGTTACTAATTAATTAGTTAAAGTTATTAGTCACCAATAAAGTTGATAATCAATAACCTTAGTTATAACTTTTCTGAGTTTGATTGTAATGCAATAATGGGATTGTGAACAGCGCTATACTAATACACTTGAACTGAATTGAAGTAAATGTTGATTATTGTGGTGAATCCCTCCCTATATTACCTGTTATTTAAAGGTCCTGTGAAGTGCTTTGAAGTGAGCATTTTTAATAGATGACCTGATCACAACTGAAGCACAACGAGAGGGCGGGGCCTAGTGTAGCTCCTCCCCTTTAAAAGGTTTTGCATTATCACTGCTGAGCCAGTGTGAATGTTCCAGCACAAGTGCACCAAATGAGAAGGGGGCGGGGCATGTCAGACACTAGAGAGCGTCTGATTGGTCAGAAGATTTGATGAGTAACTGAAGTATGAGGTGACCCGAATAAAACTGTTGATCCATTTAGGCGGAGGTGCCAAACTACAAGCTTTACATGTTTATATCGGCTTTATATGTCCTAACTGTGAATTTTGTTCCTCTTTTAGTGCGCACTAGCTTATAAATATTCTTAAAATTGAACAATACTATACTAACATCTAAACAAACGTTACTTTAGTTTCATTGGACCTTTGAGGAACATGTTTATGAGAATATGAGCACCTGATAGGCCTTGTGGTTGATCCCATAGGCAAGTGGATTGGCTCTCATTCGCACATACAGGTATGTGTAGCTCAACCATCGGACGGCTTCGTCGACATTGGTGACCGTCCCGAGAGCGATCTGCACACAAACAGACAGAAAACAATCATCATACAGCCAGCTCCCTGACAGGGGTTTATTTTGAATACTGCTGATGATGAAAATGAGAGTGCTGGACAAATGACAAGCACAAACACATTAATGCTGTGCTGAAATGACTTTATTCTGAACTTCAAATGATGTGTGGTGTCTCTGCGCCACCTGCTGGACAAACTGATGATGCGTTTCAATAGGAGGGATGTATTGATGCTGCCCTCATGCGGCAGAGTGAAGAACTGCACACTAAACTCCACTCCAAAGTATTTATTTAAACTTGTTTTAATGAAGAACTGCTATAAAGGCAAACTTTGGGCAATTTATCATATTTTTTGCAAAGAAAAATAAATGTAAAAATGTTAGCAAACAAAAACTGTAATGAAAGTATTGTTCAGTATGACAAATAAATAAATAAATGCAAAATACTTAAAAATAGAGACGTAAACAACTAAATTAATATATAAATGAATAAATGAATAAATAAATAAAAGAATAAATACATACATAAATAAATAAACAGATGAATGAACAAATTAAAAAATAAATCAATGAAAAAATAAATGAATAAATAAATACATAAAAAATAAATGAAATAATAAATACATTAATTATTCAATAAATAAATAAATAAATTAAGAAATATATAAATAAAAAATGAATAGATAAATAAATAAATAAATGATTAAATACATGAATAAAAATTAATAGAAAAATGAATAAATAAATAAATAAATAAATAAATTAATAAATACATGAATAATAAATGAATAGATAAATAAATAAATCAATAAATGGACAAATAAATAAAATACATAAAAATAAATAAATAAATGAAGGAATAAATACATACATAAATAAATAAATTAATAAATTAATAAATCAATCAATGAATAAATAAATGAATAAAAAATTTATAATTAAATAAATAAATAAATCCATACACAAATAAAGGAATAAATTAATAAATTAATCAATAAAAAGTAAATAAATAAATAAATAAATGAATAAATGAATAAATACAGAAATAAAAAAATAAATGAATAAATACAAAAATAAATCAATAAATCAATCAATAAATAAATAAATACAGAAATTAAAATTAATTAATTAATAATTAATAAATAAATATAGAAATAAGGAAATAAATAAATACATGAATGAATAAATAATAAATAAATAAATAAATGAACAAACAAACAAACAAATAAAAATAAAATAAATAAATAAATAAATAAATAAATAAATAAATAAATAAATAAATAAATAAATAAATAAATAAATAAATAAAAAAATAAAAAAATAAAAAATTAAAATAAATAAGTAAAATAACAGCCTGGAAGTTTGATTTTCTGAAAGTAATGCGCAGATTTTAAACAATAAAAATATATATTACAATTTTCTTATATTAATATTATTAATATTGTTATTATTATTATTATTACTATTTTTAATCTTTAATTTTTTTTGTAAGTTTTCATAAGATTTAAATAAATGTATAAATGCTTTACAGTTAGTAGTGTCTGTGATTCACTAAGATTGCTTCAGTTATTTACCACTTTTAACATGTTTTAATGACATTTTTATCGAATATTCTTTATTTTAATTATTAAAACCACTTTACATTTAGTCAGAAATACCTCTGGGATAGATGGACAGACAGATGTGTGTTTGTGTTTGTGTGTGTGTACCTCAGCGTTGAGGTTGTCAGCGAGGCTCTGCTGGAACTGGCTCTCGATGGGGTTCTGCTGGGTCAGCAGTGTCAGGTAATGGCTGAGTTTGTCGTGTGTTGTGATGATGGTTCCCTCTCCATATTTATCAAACTGTGGCCGTCCGGCACGACCGAAGATCTGCATCACATCCAGGATGCCCAGATCCACCAGAGTTCCACGCTTCGCATCATAGATATTAGTGCCCTGACATCACACACAAGAAGCATTAACAAGAAGACTATCACACACTTTAATAAACTGTACAGCTTTCCCTGGTTAAAGGTGCAGAGTGAGGAAAAAAAGAAGAAGAAAGATGAGAGGAAGAAGAAAGAGGAGGAAACAAAGGAAAATAAGAAAGTCAGAAGAAGAAGAAGAGATTTGTTTTTGCTTTATGTTTGTTACTATTGATATACCAGCTTTTTTGACCCTTTTGCCTGTTTGACACTGATGCCAGGCTTTTCGTGAAACCTTTGGATCTCTGTTTTCGTGTTAGGTAGTACTTGTACCTGTATTTTCATTCTTTTATTTGAACAGCTAAGGTGGAAGTTTAAAATACAAGAATTTATTTAATTTTTTTGACCTTGTCAGCTCACGAACTCAAAACCCCAAAACATTTTGACTGCATATGTTCTTTTACTTGTCTTTCATGTTTTACACCTGCCCAAGAAGCTGCGTAATGTGAACTATCCGGGACGAGCCCCCTGATTTCATGTTAGGCACCATCAAGGGCAGTGTTTCCCTACCCTGTTTCAGAAGGCACACCCAACAGTACACATAATCAACCTCTTCCTATTCAAACACACCTGAATAAACTCATCAGAACATTAAAAGGGACTCTAAAACCTGAAGTTAACGGATTAGATAAGGGAGAAATGCAAAATGTGCACTGTTGGTGAGCCTCCAGAAACATTGTAAAAAAAAAAACACTGAAACAGAAACAGAAACACTGGCCTAGATGGTGCGTAACAAGAAATTGGGGGCTCGTCCGGGATATGTTCATGTTACGCAGCATCTAGGAAAGATGCACAATATGAAGCCTAAAACTTAGATTTTCTGAAAGAGATGAAAAGAAGCTAAAAGCAGATTTTTAAACAATAAAAACCCCATTATTACCATTATTATTATTATTATAGTATTTTTTAATCTTTTAAAATGTTAGTAAGTTTTTGTAAGATTTAATGAATAAATGGTCAGGTCAGGTAGAAGTTTAAAATATTATGTTTGTTATTTTGGCCTTGTCAGCTCCCGAACTCAAAACCCCAATACATTTTGACTGCATATTTTCTTTGTCTTGTCTTGTTCCTAGTGTGCAATTTCTCTAAACGCTGCGTAACAGGAACTATCCCGGACGAGCCCCCAATTTCCTGTTACGCACCATCTAGTGCAGTGTTTTCCAACCCTCTTTTATTTTCAACCTCTACCTAGATGGGGTGTAACATGAAATTGGGGGCTCGTCCGGGATAGTTCATGTTACGCAGCGTCTAGGGAAAATGCACAACATGAAGTCTGAAAGTTTGATTTTCTGAAAGAGATGAAAAGGAACTGAAAGCAGATTTTAAAACAATAAAACCCCCATTATAACCAGTTTTAGATATTATTATTATTATTATTATTATTATTATTATTATATATATGATTATATTTTATTGTTTTATTCTTTTAAAATGTTAGTTTTTGTAAGATTTAATGAATAAATGGTCAGGTCATGTAGAAGTTTAAAATATAATGTTTGTTATTTTGGCCTCGTCAGCTCCCGAACTCAAAACCCCAATACATTTTGACTGCATATTTTCTTATACTTTCATAGTGTGCACCCTCTTTAGATACTGCGTAACATGAACTATCCTGGACGAGCCCCCAATGTCCTGTTGCACACAATCTAGTGCAGTATTTCCCAACCCTGTTCCTAAAGGCACACCAACAGTACCCATTTTCAACCTTTCCCTAATCAAACACATCTAAATCAACTCATCAGAACATCAGAAGAGTCTCTAAAACCTGATGTTAATGAATCAGATATGCTGGTGTGCCTCCAGAAACATTGTTGGGAAACACTGGCCTAGATGGCGTGCAACATGAAATCGGGGGCTCGTCCGGGATAGTTAATGTCATGCAGCGTCTAGGTAAGATGCACAACTTAAAAGTATAAAACAAGACAAAGAAACAGAGTTGGGAAACACTGGTCTAGGGAAGGTGCACTGCATGAAAGTATAACACAAGACACAGACCTTGATGATGACGGCATGTGCAGGTAAGTTGACTCCCCAGGCTAGTGTGGCCGTGCACACCAGAACCTTCAGGTATCCTCTGGAAAACATGCTCTCCATCAGGGAGCGGTCCTGACGCAGCATTCCAGCATGATGAATCCCGAATCCATCAGGAAACATCTCTCGCATCTGCTTATTTCTGGAGCGCTGTATCTATGACACACACACACACACACAAATAATGTTGTCTAACTCTCTGAAATTGACCCTTTAGACTTTGATCCTAATTGTGGCGTTTTGGTGACTGTCGCTTTAAATGCAAATGAGATAGTGCTCTTTTCAGAAAAGGGCGGAGCTAGAAACACCTGTGTCAGCATAGTGGCAGATTAAAACAGTATTAATGTTATCTGCGTGAAAAATTGAAGATGACGAAATGGGAGAATGTCAATCGAAGTGTTTCTGCATACAGTTTTTAATTATAATTAATTATTTCTTACTATTAGCAGCTGGTTATTTTCACACACTGCCGACACACAACTGCGTCTGAACCTCTTATAAATGTGATTTATGCATAACAGCTCCCCTTGTATCAGACTCTGGCGTCTCCAGCAGTGTCCTCGCAGCGCTGGGATTGAGATGTGTGCTGTGCTGACTGTGGATGTGGGTCGTGACCTGCGCTGGCAGAAACGTCCTCACCATCAGACGCTCTGATCTCACTCTGCCTGAGTCTAAATGGAGGTCAACAGCAACAAGGCCCCGGTGCCGCTGAGAACAGCCCATTACAGACGCGTCTGTCCCTCTAAAACCCTGACAGAATACCAACAACACCAGTATCTGCTCACTCAAAACACTCGGCTTCAAAACTCTGAATACCATGGTGCCAGAGAGCTGGCCGATGAATACAATCCATACCTGTCAACATTGGGATGTGAAAATAAGGGATAACCTCCTCCAAAATATTCCCAAATTACTAGATGTGTTCATCTGGAGCTGTTACATTGTGAATAAACAGTTGAAATGGTCAGTAATATGATTTATTATTATTATTAATATTATTCACAAAGGACAGAACAAGTAGTCTACATTAAAAAGCTGCTATATATTAGCAAACAGTTTAGCCTATACAAATGAATAGCTATTATAGACCTTTTGCTTGGCTGCTGCATAGAGGGGGCCATAGAGAGCAGCGTCTTCCGGTTGAATGGTTAGAACTTCCGTTTACAGCGTTTACAATAGGTAATTTGCGATCCGAAAATGGGTTTCAAAAGCCTTTTTAATAGATAACAGAGTGTTTTTGTGAGACACAACTTAGAAATGTGTGTGTTAAAGCCGTTTTAATCTGTCAGATGTGGTTCAAATACAGTGTGTGTGTGTGTGTGTGTTTCCCTGGCCTGTCAGTTGTTAGCTCAGCGGCTCTTCAACACACACACACACACACACAAACACACACACACACACACACACACGGAATACTTCACTGCATTATAGAGCAAACCAGATTACTGGCATGAAACTTAACAGGTAAGTCATGCAATTTTTGTTGACCAATGAGCAATAAAAGTCTGTTATTGATCCTCTGCTGGCTGATTTGCTGTTCATTCTAATCGCGAGCCGTTTGTGTTTAATTTAGTGTGTTGTTTTTACGATAGTGTGTGTTTTTCTGTCATTTCAAAATGACACTCGCCTGTATTTTCACTTTGTCACAGTTATTAAATCAGTGTGTCAGTGGGACAGTACAGGCTACGTGTGTGTGTCAAACATTTTGATAAATTACATTTGTTTGGGCTGGTTATATATTTGAAATGAAGAGAAAATGTTGACTTTAGCGATGACGAGGCTTCATTTAAACTGCAGAAGATGCCGTCTGACAACGAGGGGAAAACACCTCACAGCAGCTGTTTTCCATCCTATTAGATCACATTTCCTTAAATGATCAGTCCAGGAGATGCTGCTGATGGACAACAGTATTAGTTCAAAGAGGATAAAAGCAGGTAAAATAGATTAAAACTATCGTTTCACAGCTGTCCAAATGTGACTGTTTACACGCATCAGCTGCCGACCGGAAGTTCTTCGCATTCTCCTTGCGCATACACGCAAAGCTTCATGGGTAATTTTGCATTCCAAGAAAAAGGTCTATAAGATGTAAAATAAGTCTGTTATGTCCCAGAGCGTTTTCAGCTCCAAATAGCACACAGATAATGCTTCATAACTCGCTGAAACTGACCCTTTTAGGCTTTGATTCTAATTGTGGTGTTTTGGTGACTGTCGCTTTAAATTCAAATGAGTTGTGGTCTTTTCAGAAGAGGGCGGAGCCACAAATGCCTGCGTGTCAGCATAGTGGCAGATTCAAAAACTTGACTAACGTCCTATGCTAATGAGGGAGAGATGGTCACTAGTGGGCGGGGCTTCCCTCTCTGATGACACGTACAAAGGGAGAATGTCAAAGTGTTTCTGATTACATAAACTAAATAAATTAAAAACTTTATTACCATTAGAAGCTGCTTATATTCACACACTGCTGCCACACAACTGTGTTTCAACCCTTTATAAAAGTGATTTCTGCATAATAGCTCACCTTTAATTAATTGGCCAATCAAGGTTTAGCATGGCAGCAGGGGTGACCAATTACATTCTTGGTAAATGAGTACTCTCTTCTTCCCGTCTGCTGCTTAATATGATCAACTGGAGTTTAAAAGTCCTTTATGATGACATTCACCGCAATTCATTATCAAGCTACAACCTTCTTCTGCATAATGACAAGTGTAAAAATATCACCGGCTTATTGAGATAAATGTCTCGTTGCTTACCACTGATCATTACACTGCGGAGAAATTCAGTTCCGAAAAAAAGCTCTTCTGCCATTTCTCTTCGTCTCTAGGTCAATTTGGGGCTCCAATCAGCCGGTCTCAGAGGATCCCAGGACTCCATCAGTGCTATAATGAGAGCCGCACGCTCTGTTTTAATGTGGCCGATGGCTCAGCAGCAGAATCCAGTGGACTAAAACTGGACTAGCACCTACACTTTCTTTCTTTCTTTTTCTTTCTTTCTTTCTTTCTTTCTTTCTTTCTTTCTTTCTTTCTTTCTTTCTTTCTTTCTTTCTTTCTTTCTTTCTTTCTTTCTTTCTTTTTTTCTTTATATTTTTCTTTCTTTCTCTTTTTCATTGTTTCTTTATTTCTTTCTTTCTTTTTTCTTTCTCTTTTTCTTTCTTTTTTTCTCTATTTCTTTATTTTTTCTTTCTCTTTTTCTCTTTCTCTTTTTTTCTTTCTTTCTTTCTTTCTTTTTCTTTTTTCTCTCTCTCCCTCTTTCTTTCTTTCTTTCTTTCTTTCTTTCTTTCTTTTTTATTTCTTTCTTTCTTTTTTCTTTTTTTCTCTTTCTTTCTTAATTTCTTTCTTAATTTCTTTCTTTATTTCATTCTTTTTCTTTCTTTCTTTTTCTTGCTCTTTATTTCTTTCTTTTTTCTCTTTATTTCGCTCTCTCTTTTTCTTTATTTTTCTTTCTTTTTTCTCTTTATTTCGTTATTCTTTCTTTCTTTCTTTCTTTCTCTTTCTCTTTTTCTTTCTTTCTTTCTTTTTTTCTTTCTTTTTTTCTCTATTTCTTTATTTTTTCTTTCTCTTTTTCTCTTTCTTTCTTTCTTTCTTTCTCTTTTTCTTTCTTTTTCTTTCTTTTTTTCTCTTTATGTCGTTATTTTTTCTTTCTTTCTTTCTTTTCTCTCTCTCTCTCTCTCTCTCTTTCTTTCTTTCTTTTTTTCTTTCTTTCTCTTCTTTCTTTATTTCATTCTTTTTTTTCTTTCTTTCTTTCTTGCTCTTTATTTCTTTCTTTTTTCTCTTTATTTCGCTCTCTCTTTTTCTTTATTTTTCTTTCTTTTTTTCTCTTTATTTCGTTATTCTTTCTTTCTTTCTTTCTTTCTTTCTTTTTATTTCTTTTTATTTCTTTCTTCCTTTCTGGACTCGAACCAGCGACCTTCTTGCTGTGAGGCCACAGTGCTAACTACCGAGCCACTGTGCCGCCCCTTAATTAGTTACAATAAAGCTTCTTTTTAGACAATTTAATTACTAACTTATTCATTAGTTTACATCTTTAATGTATTAAAAATCATTCATACATTTATTTTCAGTCACTTTATTAATCTGGGGTTGCCACAGCGAAATGAACCACTAACTATCCACCAAATTATGTTTTAAGCAGCGGATGCCCTTAGAGCTGCAGCCCATCACTGGGAAACATCCATACACACTCATTCACACTACAGACAGTTTCAACTTACCCAATTCCCTAATAGCGCATGTGTTCAGACTGTGAGGGAAACCAGAGCACCAGTAGGAAACCCACGCCAACACAGGGAGAATTTGCAAACTCCACACAGAAATGACAACTGGCCTAGGTGGGGCTCGAACCAGCAACCTTCTTGCTGTGAGGCAATTGTGCAACCCATTGCGCCGCCAAAAATCATATTGTTAAATCTTTAAATAATAACCTAAATTAAGTAGTTCTTCTTCTCTCTGAAGCCACAAAATAATACTAATAACATGCATCTGGTTTACAAACACATGATGTGCATCAAAGACAAACAGCCAGAATGTAAAGCAGCTCAGCTTTAGCCTCAACACATCACACATTCCAGCAGCAGAAAAAAACACATCATCCTGAAAATCTGCCATCGCAATAAATCAAAAGGTAAACAACCCAAAACAGCCCACCGAATGCATGCAGGAGTGTGTTTGAGACGGAGAGGGAGTGGCACCCGATCACCGGCGGGCCCACGGGAGCCTCTAATTGAAACGCTAAGGTTTGCTTTGAGGTGTCAGCGGGTATTAATGCTGCGGTCTCTGAGCGTAAGTTAAAGTGAGACTGGGGCAGGCGCTCACGTTCAGAGGTTGGATTCAAGATGGCAGCGCATCGGCTCTCTGATCAAGGCTGATTAAGGGCCGCTGAAGAGAGATTATTTCCCTGCGCGCTAAGCAGAAGCCGGGGCAGACAGCGCTGATTAGCCATTATTCTGCCTTAACACAAGTAGACAGTAGCCATACCGCACCGAGACACGGCACGCACCTCAGGGCTGAGATATAGACACTGAGACGTGACCAGATCTGAGCGAGCAGCCCGTGACCATCACAAACACAATGACCTCTGCTTCTCAGATTCACGCTCAGATTCTGAGAAGAACGATCAGGGCCGCACGATACTAGGAAAATACGTTGATGAGTATCGCGATA